GAAGTTCAGGATTGGATAAGGCCAAGCTTGAAGTTTCGAGTGCTAGGTTTTGGGGCCTGATTTTAAGGGAAGTATATACTCAAGAAGATGTTCTTTTTCCTTACATTGTTGATATTACTTCATTTCCATCAATGACAGTTCCTAAAGTTGTGTTGGATGATGCTATGATTTTTCCAATAGTTGCTCGAATTCCTGATTTGATGCTCAAGTTAGTGAATTCTACTAATAAATTGTTGGTTAAGTATCAAGCTTCTATAGATTCCACTCCAACTGGCATTCTTCCACCAAAGATTACTTCTAAAGGTCCTGAAGGTTCAACGAAAGCATCTAAGGGAAATAAGAAAAAGAAACAAGATGTGAAATCAAAGGAAGTAGAAGAAGAGGTTGTTAAGGAGACAGTACCCACAAAGACATGAAAAGGGGTATTTAAGAGGACGAAGAAAACTACTTCCAAGAAACAATTTGAATTTGAACCCATGAAACCAACTGAAGAACCCGTGGTGACACAAGCAGAGCAAGTTGATAAGGAGATTCCTACTTTTGTTCCAAAAGTTGTCACTCAAGCAGTCGAAACTATTGTTATAAAGGGAGTTTCAAAGAAATTTAAGAAATTGCAGTTTACAAGGAGGGGTGTTATAATTTGAGAGGTTCTGAGTCCTAGTTCTCCAGCATCCAAAAAGAGACAAGCTTTGGATGTTGCACAAAAGTTGAAGAATCGAAAGCCTACTCCTGTTGAAGATCAAATTGAGAATGTTGTTGTGGAATCTGACCATGACAGTGATGGCACTGATAAAGATATGGAAGGTTCATTTCATATTTCACCAAGGAAGGATACCTCTATCAAATTGAATTTCGAGGAGACAAGTACTCCTGATGTCAATGCACACGTATCTAATACGGATGTAAACATCAATCTAGGTTAACAACCTAGTACCTCAATCCATGAGAATACGAAAGTCACACCACCCGGGGTTTCGCCTACTGAGTCCTTTATGGAGGAGGTCAAAATTCCAAACATCATTGTGAACTTATCTGATAAGGACACCAATGTTACCGTGGATGTAACACCCGGTTTTCGGATCGGGTCGATTTAGGGCTTCAAGGAGTCAAAGGCATGGTTTTTGGGGAAATACCAAGGCTCGTGACGTAAGAAGGGATTAAATGAAGATTTTGATTTAAATGAGCTCACGACGTGAGCAATATGAGCTCACGACGTGAGATGCGCTGCAGCCCAAGCCCACGATCTTTTAGGGTTTCCATCGTATTTAAACCCCATAAACTTCACTTTAGGGTTCCAAAACAGCCTCCTTCATCCCTAAACTCAGTAAAACCCTAACCCTAGCCTCTCGTTGTGTTTCTAGAGCTTTGATGGAGTTTTGGTGGTTTGAAGAGGAAGAGATCACCATGGAAGCATAGTTTCAACTTTGAAACTTCATTTTCAATCCTTAGCTACACTTCTGGACCAATGTGAGTAATCAAGATCCAAGCTTTATGCTTCCTTATTACTATATCTAAAGTTTTATGCATATGTATCCAATAAATTAAGAGTGAGAGTGTTGGGACTCCATAAAGTTGGCAACTTTATAGGTCCTTAGGGTCCCTTGATGCTTATATGTCATGGATCTGAAGTTTGGAGGATGTTTGAGTCCATGCATGATAAATTACTTCCTTTTCTTCATAAATGACCTAGCTTGCGTTCAAGTCTTGTAATGGACATACAAGACCTTAAAGCATCGATTTTTATGATCCTTTGAGTGTTAGGAAGACTCTTGGAAAACGTTGATTAGTGGCTTAATGGATTAAGAAGATTTTGGATCAATATGGAATTCAGAGGGATCTTACGTGTAACACCTGCAGATTCGGGCTACTTAGTTAAGATATAACAAGCGTTAATTGTTTTTTGATAAAATATTATTTAGGATAAATAACCTTAACCAAAGAAATAGTTAGGGTCAACAATTGTAACCTATTTGACGTAATAAAGAAGAATTATATTAATATTATGTGTTTCATGATTATTATAATATAATAAAATAGGAAAAATCAGCCGAATCGTCTGTAAATCGTAAAAATAAATGCGCCGAAACACACACACACACACACACACACATATATATATATATATATATATATATATATATATATATATATATATATATAGAAAGTACACGTCTTCCCGATCCCGAAAATATAAATTTCGTAGAAATCCGACTTCGTATGAATCAGATATGATTTTTATAAGATATAAAAATCAGCCGCACATAACGAATGTATGACGTAAAAAGCTATGAAGAGAATGGTTGACTTTTAGCTAAAGCCACCAAAAAGAAAATCGTAGTACTCTTTAAAATAAAAATTTTGAGAAAAAGAATGTCAAAAACGGAGTTCGTACGAGAGAGTTATGATTTTAGCAAAATCATAACTTAGTGGCTAAGTATATATATATATAATATGGATAAAAACGAATTAATTAAGCTTAATGGCTAAGTAAACTTAGTGGCTAAGAAATCCTAACACTATAAATAGGGACTCAAGTCTCCTCATTTCGTCACAACTTTCCCTATCAAATATATCTATTTCAAGATCTCAGTCACTGTGAATTGAGTTCTCGAGTGAAACGTAGAAACGCTAGAGCGTTGGAGAATCGCTTCCTAGAAAAAGCCGAAGCATCAAATCCTTTTTCGATCTACTAATCAAGTGAGTGCATAGTCTCTTTCATGAACATGATTTTAATACAAGTATTGATTAAAGTATTAAATATATCTTTGTGTGTGAAATCTTTGTTATTGCCTGAAATACGTGTTAAGAGCATATATGATAATATATGATAATTTAGGATACAAAATAAACCTAAATTAATTGAGATGAATATCTGGTAGTATCTCCTTATAAGTATGGGTGAGATATACATGGAGGGTCGAACTTTAAAATTTCTCATTAATCCGAGAGCATGGATTAGACATAGTCATTCGTCCCTAGTCCAAGAGTATGGATTGGGAATAGTCATATGTCATTGATTCGAGAGCATGGATTAGACATAGTCATTCATCCCTACTCCGAGAGTATGGATTGGGCATAATTATTTGTCATGTATACGAGAGCATGGATTTGACATACCTGATCCGGGAGTATGGATCAGGTAAAGCCATGAATTTTAGATCCGAGAGTATGGATTTGTATCGTTGTGAGGATCGACGGGGTAGGGTAAACTTGCTTATATGAGGTGAAATTGTATATATTGTGAGTTCTAAAATATATAAAATATAACATTGTGGGATTCAAATCCCTATGTACTCGCCAGGTTTCCCAACCTAACCCACTCAGTTTATATATATCACAGGTGTAAATATGAAGCTACATTACACTGAGAGATTAAAGGAGATGTAAAGCATTAGTGTAAATGAATGTAATGTCTGTTTATGCTTATGTTTCGGTATTAATAATGACATCCCAATGTTTTAATATAAATAAAATACATTTCTTCGGAAATGCTTGATAATATTATTATCATGTTTTTGTTCTGAGAACAAATTCCACATTACTACTTTTCAAAATGGATACTCTGATTTTAAATAAGCATAAATAAAATTTTTGAAATGACCGTGAATTTGGGGATGTCACATCACGACGTGAGGAGATGCACGTCACGTCGTCAGGGTGGTGAGAACCGATTATTTTGTCCTGTACTGGCTCACGAAATGAGCCATAGATGGTCACGTCGTGAGGGTCTGCTGACTGTTGACTTTAGTTGACCATTGACTGTTGACTTTTTGACCAAGTTTGACTTTGGGTCAAACTTGAGGATTTTGGGCTATTTATTGAGATTCTATCTGGTTCTGGTGTTGGTGGACTCGTGGGAGAAAGCAGTGTTGAAAACGGGTCATATCGTAGTGTTCATAGTTCTTCGATGCAGGTAAGTTTCGCCTCACTGTACCGTGGGTCGAAGGCACCAATGTCGGCCCACTAGTTTTGGTTATCTGTTAGTAGAGGGTGCCCTAGGGACTGTATATAATCATTTAGGATAGACTAAGGACTCTTGATCTAGGCTCTTTTTCATGTTCCTTGTTTGGTTGTGGTTCTAGAGTAGGATCACCTATCCGGGTGACTATCTCACCTCTAAGTATATACGTTTATGTATTCCTTGGATTGTTGGTAATTTGTATGTTGCTATGTTATAGTGATATGTTAGATCTGTATCCTGTTATTTAGGATGTTGCTATGTAGTAGTGATCTATAGATATGTGTGTCCATCTGTACTTGCGGATTATCATCTAGTGGAGTGCCCTAGGTACTGTCTATGGTCATGTAGGATAGCCTGAGAACTCTTGATCTAGGCTTTCTTGCATGTTCCTTGTTTGTTTGTGGCTCTAGAGTAGGATCATCTGTTCGGGTGGCTATCCCACCTCTGGTTACTTATGCTTACGCATTCTATGGAGGTTAGCTGGTAGCAGGACTGTATGTTATAAGGGGACTAGTATGCGGTAGTGAGTTGTATGATTGATGTTTGTGTGCATTATGTGCCTACTTGGGCCTTGATTGTTTATATGTCGACATATGGTAGTAGTAAGTTAAGGCGGTACTGCTTTGTGTTGTAGGCCAAGATACCCGGTGCGGGTCGGCTGTAAACCATTGGCACGGAGGCTCAAGAAGAGTGGTTGGGTTGAGGCGGTAGGCCAACAAACCCTGGGTATTCCAGCCCGATGGCTGAGTGGACCCGATGCATTCTTGTATGTTTATCGTATGGGGTATTTTAGGGAAAACTCACTAAGCTTTGTGCTTAGCCAGTTGTTTATTGTTTCAGGTATCATCAGTCATCATGGGAAGGCGAAGGCGTGACTGTATACATTGATCAGCAACAATGAAGATTTTCGTGCTTTAATATTACTCTTATTTTTATAAATGTATTTGGAATAAACAGTTTTCTCCATAACGGAGTTATAATTGGGAAGATTTACTTAAATAAAAATGGGAATTTTTGGTTGTGAAAATGGGACGTTACAATGGATGAAGGGAGCTCCACCATCGAAACTTTAGTTATTGTTACTTCAATTGCATTACCACCACCACCAACTTCACCACCACAAACATCTATTATTCCACCTACATCTACTACAACAGTTTCTCCTACATTTGTTGTTGTAATGCAAGAATCGATTGTTGCCTTATTCTCATCTCAATCCATTGAGTCTGAGAAGACCATTCCGGAAGATGAAGTAGATGTTGATTATGTTATGGTTTCGTTTGCTGATTTGCAGTTCAACCCTAAAGAATATGATATACTTGATGAGTTAATCATGTCGAGTAAAAAATTCAAGATCCTTAATTCTAAAATGATCTATATTCTTTAATTTTTGGCTGATATTGGTGACAAGAACTCAGTTAGTGGATTTGAGGTTGAATATCTTTTAAAGTCTCAAGATTCTCCTCTGAGAACCTTGATTCATAGTGTTGATAAGAAAAGTGAAGAGCGAGTGGCAAATCAGGCTCGTAATTTTGATCATGGGATTTCTAAACTTCGTTATGTTGCGAAAGAACGTCATGATCTCTTTGAAAAGATGGTATCTGAATCGAAAGCTTCTCTTGATTTGAAGGTGAATAAGCTTAGAGACTTGATATCAAAAGAAGTTTAGAACTTAGATAAATATTTGTTTATGTGAATAAAAAGATTGATGTAGTGGCCAGTGCAACAACTCGATTGATAGAATAACTTACTGCTTTCAACAAGGATTATTTAAATGATCTCAAGGTCAAGACTGAGAAGGATCACAAAGTGTTTGAGAAGGTTGAAGAGTTTCTAACTGATTTTAAATAAACTTTATCAAAAGTTTATCTTTTGTCTCAATCTTCCATCTCTCAAGATTCTATTTCTGCAATAGTTTCGAATATTGAGTCAAGTTTCAAAGCAGAGTTGGCTCCAATCTTGAATTTAGTTCTTCGACTACCAGCAAATGCTCAACAATCTGTTCACGTCTCGCAAGGGGGAGAAAGAGGTATCGGTTCTTCAAAAGGTGTGACATCCCCAAATTCACGGTCATTTTAAAAATTTTATTTATGGTTATTTGAAAATCAGAGTATTCATTTTAAAGAATAATATTGCGGAATTTGTTCCCAGAAAACATGATAAATATATTATCAAAGCATTTCCGAAGAAATGTATTTTGTTTATATTAAAACTTTGCGATGTCATCGTCAACACAGAAACATAAGCATAAACAGAACTTACATTCATTTACACTAGTGATTTACATCTCCTTTAATATCTTAGTGTAATTTAGCTTCGTATCGATACCAGTGATATAAATAAACTGAGTGGGTCAGATTAGGAAACCTGGTGAGTACATAGGGTTTTCAACCCATAATAATATATTTAATTTGTTTCTTCGTATAATTTATGTCAATCAATTAACCCGATTACCCATCCCTATTTTCTTCATTTAAACTTCCCTAAAGACTCATCCTAAGGGTCATCTCCTACATCGTATTTACCTATCATCTCCTTACATCGCATTTTCTTATGTATTTGTTCCTAAGGACTTTTCCTAAGGATCATCGCATAGACAGTACTGATTCGGGGGGTTACTCCCTCAATACGTTTCTAGTAAGGATTAGAGTATCATCGCATGAATACGTAGTTACAACATCGCCTGAACTCGTAATTCATCACCTACAGGTTATGAGCCTGATGGTGTTTCCACAAGACTGTCTAGAATAGTCTGTGGTCGCCATTTATACTCTGGTAGATGACTACATCGCCACATCCCCGGTCAAGGTTATGGTATCTCATCTCATCTCACATCACCTATTTATCATCACCTATCTATCATCAACTATCTATCATTACCTTTCTATTATCACCTATCTCTCATCACCCGTCGCTACCCAATATATATTTATAAGTATAAAAATACGTATTCAGTTTAAACCACGTAAACATGTATAAATCGTTCATCTAGCATGGATATTAGGAACACAGATAATATGCACACATAACACGTAATTTATATTAAATACTTCATATATATGCGTAAGATGAAAGTAACTATGCACTCACCTTAATAGCGTGATTTGATGGAATCTAACTAGAAACGGTCAGCGATTCATTATCGTCGGGCTCGGGACGCGGAATGCCTTCAACGAACGAGAGAGAGGAAAGAAGGTTTAGTGTAAGGAATGAAAGGGTCGAACTTGTTATTTATAGGGTGTTATTGGCAAGTTCACGTCGTGCACATGACATGTTCACGTCGTGCACATGACATGTTCACGTCGTGGCTCATGGATGAATCACTTCGTAGGCTTGCCATCTGCGTTCTAACTTCGAAAGGTGTCCGGATGACACTTCCACGTCGTGGAAGTGTTAGGTTCACGTCGTGGAGTTCCATGAGTCATGCCGTAGCCTTAGCACATGTTTTCTAGCCTTGATTAGTGTCTTTGACTAATTTCACATCGTTGACTAAATGTTCATGTCGTGGACTTAATGTTCACGTCATGGACTTAAGGCGGCTAGGGTTTCTGCCACGTGTCATGCCCTCAGACAGCTACATCTTTGGAAGATCATAACTTTTGCATACGAGCTCCGGTTTTTACGTTCTTTATATCCACGCATAGGTGGAGACATACTTTACAACTTTCATTTATACTCAGTTGGCTATTTTTGAATTTATTTTTAAAGTAATATTTTTAACAGGTCGGGACAGGAAAAGTTCGTTAAAAATTCATAACTTTGTCATCCGATTTACGTTTTCGTCTGTTTTTTTATCGATGAGCTCCTACTAATGAGATCTTCGATTCTCATTTAGGTTGTGTTGGGTAAAAATCGTTCGATCTAATATTTGAACCCCGGGCTGCATATTGCTATGCCGAATCTTGGAAAAATCATAACTTCATCATACGAAGTTAGATTTGGACGTTCTTTTTATGCACGTTCTCGGTTTAATGTATACGACGAATTTAGTATATATCGCTAAGTCTAAAAAGTACTTTATCGTAAACTCACTTTTTACGTCACATAGCATCATGTCAGTTTTGTCGCGAAACTGCGACAGGTCATAACTTCTTCGTTATAACTCGGATTTCGGCGTACTTTATATGTACGGAACCCTTGTGACATATAATATAACTTGGTTAAGATTATTTACTCTAAATAATCTTCTATCAAAAAGTCATTTTTAATGCTCATTATCTCTAAATTGACTAGCCCGAATCTGCGGGTGTTACAATTATCTCCCCCTTAGGATGATTACGTCCCGGAATCATCAACAAAACATGGCTTGTATAATGACTCCATATGTTATCTCTTCATCCTAGGTAATAGCCGTAACTCCCATGTTTCTTTGAATGAATATCTAACTCTTGGAATTCTTGTCTGCAGGCGGTGCTCAATCTTGCACCCGTTCTTTATCCTATGTTGGACTTTCAATCATAACCTTAGAGTTACAAAATCGATCCATACTGGAGACTCCTACTTCTTCTTAAATAGACTTAAGATAAGTTCTTTCATTCGATTACCATAATAGATTGATGGGTCATGTTCTAATGACCTCTCATCGTATGATGCAACGCTTAGACTCAAGTCTTTTAGAGTCAAATTCTAGAATGAAAGATACCTTCCTTCATAATCTAATGTGATATAATCACATTCTAGCATGTAGCACTTATAGCTACAAGCTTCTTACTTTAACAATAATTGTGATACTTCTATTGATTGCTTTGATCATCTTTCACTTCAATCTTCTGGATTAAGTCATATGTTACATCGAACTTGGTTCTCTGAACCACGTAACATACTCGTTTTAGTCGGACTCGATTTGATATGACCACTAGGGTCGAAAAAACAATCATCTTCTTAGTCATTACCGAAACGATGGTAACGACATATTTGAATGAAACAGAATCAATTACTAGCGCCTTGGTAACCTTGTGACTTTCCCTGATCCAAGTGTGAGTCCTGTGTTTCCAGTAGTATAGGCCTCTACTACCATTCACACCTACTCATACTCGTCCCAAGTATTGTCTCGCAGTTTTCCAAGTTACCATACAAGAATTTCACATAATCATTTAACACATTGAATAACATAACAAAGCTTTATATTATTTCTTGAAACGATTACATAAACGTTCAAGTTTAACCTATACAATGCCTCTAACAGGCTACACCACATGTCACTATGGCTACTTCATATCTTCATCTTCGGATATGAAGTCTTAATCCTTGATTCCTCGCTTTGTCACCTGCTTCGTCGAGGATCATTTGGGATTCTCTTGCCTTTGGCTTCGACGGTGCGTTTTTCCTTGCAGGTTCGTTCTTCTTTGGGCAGTTCTTCGAAATATGTCCACCATCTCCACATTTGTAACACTTCCTGTTTTCGAATGTACAATCTTTGGAATAGTGACCGATCCTACCACACTTGTAGCAGGTCACTTCTCCATCGCATCTTCCGAAGTGCTTCTTCTTGCACTTCTCACACCACTTGGTTCCACCACTACCTCCATACTTTTGGTCGTCCAGGTTAGACTTCATGAATCTTCCTTTATCATCAGATCTCGAGAATCCTTCAAGCTTCTTCTTTTCTCCTGCCTTCTCTTTTTCTAAACTCTTTTCTCTTATCTGGGTCTCTAAATTCTTAGATGCCCAGATGACGGCTTTCAAGGTGGTTGCTTGTTTAACCATTACACGAAAGTCTGCTGGTAATCCATTGGCAAACTTGTTGACCTTGGAGAGTTCAGTTGGAATTAGTTAAGTAAAAAGCTTCATCTTTTCTGTAAAATATGTAGCATACTCGGTAACGCTCATTCTTCCCTTCCTTAGGTTCTGAAACTCATTTTTCATCTCCAGTAGATCCTGCTCAAGCAATACTGTATCTTCAGTTACACCAAAAAGTCTTCCCAAGACATCTTGCTAGCTTCTCCCTTGGGCATCGTATCAGCTAGTAGCTTCCACCAGCTCAGTACTCCAGATTTTAACAGGGTAACTACGAGGGCGGTCTTTTGTTTCTTGCTGCAGTCGCAATTCTCAAACATCATCTCCATCTCGGAGATCCAATCCATGACTTCCAACGGTGTTGGGCTTCCAGAAAGACTCAGTGGCTTGGATGCCATGAAATCCTTGTACTTGCATCCTTGTCCATCATTCCCTTCGTTGTGGTGGTTTTTCCTACCCACTCGTAGTTCAGCTTGACTTACAGTCTGACTATAGTTCCCTTCATCAGATTGCTCAATGTTCAGCTCGGGTTGTTCAACAGGCATAGTAGGATCATCCTTATTCTGTTGAAGTAAACGCATTGTTTCCTCCATCTGACGATCCAACATCATTTGGATCATCGCTTGCACTCCTGCCATCGTGATCGGCTCA